ATGTGTACGAATTGTGCGATTAGGCATGGGATCATTCGTACACATTGCGGACAATTTTCTGTAGTGTTCGAATGAAATATCTACAAAGCCTTCCACTCTCACTCTTGTTCTCATTAGTAGGAATCTTGAACGTTAGGGAGAGTTTATACTTCCTTTCTCCGATAGAGGGAGCCTACGTGAAAATTTCACTTGGTAAAATTTGTCCTCAATTTGGTATAGGACCTATGTTCGTTCTGAAAGTCATCGATTCTTGATTGATTGATCAAATATGGACTGATGATTCATAATAATGATGAAACAATTGTATCCTTTTACCATTCAACAAGATCGATGAACTTTTCGAAACGCTCTTAATATTTACTCTTGACAGTGATGGGTTTGCTCTCGTTGACAACAATTGTGTAGGCAGCTTCCTGAGAGTTTTATTTGAAATATTTCGATTAAGAGTCTCAGTATTCATTATATATATATATATATATATATATATATATATATATATATATATATATATATATATATATATATATATATATATATATATATATATATATATATATATATATATCAGAATTCTATACACAGGCTTTCTCAGAGATAGTACCATTCCTCAGATGAACACTGAAGCTTGTATGTCCGAAGAAAATAGTGAAATTTTATTTCAGATACATTATTTGTAATGAAATTCACCTTTATATTCTAGTTAAGCGAATTCGCCATTCGCCAATTAATTTATTTCTCATCTCATTCAATCTCACCCAAACTCATACAGAAACCTTAAAAAAAAGAGATACTTCTATTGAATAACTAGTAACCCCAGGAAAACGGTGATTGAAAAGTCCCACTGTAATCTTGGGCCGGCCGTATTAGCTTAAAACTGTAGGTCAAATGTAGCTATAAGCATCTTTGTCCTCCGCTATTAGTACAATGATAATAATAATATATTGAAAGTTTTGAGCACAGGTAACATAAGGCAGTGATAATGTTATATTAACTGAATCTGTATGCAACAAAATCATTTCATATGGTGGTATCATTGTATACAATATTTTTTTATACAATGAGATCATTCAATTTCAAACAGAAATGCAGATAATGGTTCAGGGTTTGAAAAAACTACATACTATCGTTGTAAATGAATGAACAGTTCTACAGTGAAAAACTAATAGCAAACTACTCACAAGAAGTTGAGAATTTTCGATCTATTCAAAAAACTTATTTCAATAAAAATAAGAAAAAACAAAAAATTGAAAAAGAATATTCGGGGTCATTATTTGAAATTTTCAATATACTCCTCCATTTTCCTCTAATGGAATATTTAGAATAAAGCATAAATTTAGGCAGCTTGTTATAAGATATTCAATAATTCATGAATCAGTGGTCATGTAACAATCAAATGTCTTATTGTTTATTTGAGCAAAACGCCTGTCCGTAAGCAAAATAACACAATGGAGATGAATTCAAAATGGTGGTTCACCCCTTCAACATTAATTAATATTGTTACATTTCTAGAGACAGCCGAAAGTCAAATTAGTCAAATGAACTGATTTATCACGTAAGATTCGAGAAATGCTCTCATTTTCCGGCGACGAATTCATACTTTAGCAAATTCAACAGAAGGCGCCAGGAATATTAACAACGTTGTTGAATTGAAGATTTCTAATGAAATTGTCATGTTGAGGAGAATAAACGAGATCACTACTATAACTCGAAGTCGAAAGCATTGAATCTTGGGGATGTATGAGAGGAGAATCGAAACCTAATTGCAATTGGGAAAGTGTCTAGATCTAGTGTGAGCTATCATCTGAACATTTTATATGAAATTGTTTCGAACAGAGACATATCTCAGTACGAGCAATATACAATGAGATTCTTCGCTATTTTACCAGACTTCCATTGCTTTTAAATTAAATTAAGAATCCTGAAGAAACTTCAATTGATGAAAATTAAATATTAAAGTTAATGGGATTAAACAGAAAAAGGAAAAAAGATTGAAATTCAATGTCTTGAAGGCTGAAACGGAAATATGGAATGAGAATAAAAATAAAATGAATTAATATAATATGAAACTAATGAATTATTTTCACATTATTAATATAATTTTTTTTTTAAAAAGGACTTTATTCACTTTAATACACAAATTGTGTCATAACAGTGATAGGCGAAGTATAGCATAGCTATTCTGACTCAACCTCTTAAAACAAAAAATAAAGGGAAAAATATTAATAATCATAATAAAAATAACAGAAATAATAGAATATAGAAAGAAAAATAAAATATAAAGTAAACATTATTTAACAATAATTCAGCAAAATGAATATGACAACCATTGTCAAATTATACCTTATATAATTAGAAAAAAAATGAGGGAAAGAAAACGAAACAAAAAAAAAGTTGCAAAGTGTGTTAAATGAAGTCTATTAAATGTATTCATCCAGTTTCACTCGGCAGATAAGAGCTGGTATTTGATCTTTTTTCTAAATCCGGACAGCGAAAGATTTTTTATGTCTTTATCTAATGTATTATAAATTGAGGTCGCATTATATGTGAAAGATCTTTCAAAAACATTTAGGGAAATACATTGAAGGGTATCAACATGTCTAATGTTAACCGAACGTGCATGTCGTCTAAAATTTAGTATACGATGGAGGAAAATGGGCATTCCGGACAATAAAATGCGATGTACGAATGAACTCATATAAAAACGGAATAGTTGGTCGATTTTAAACCACCCTAGCTGAACGATTCAAGTAGATACTATTTCGTATTTACGTATTCTGAAAACAAACCTACAACATGAATTTTGAATGCGTTGAATTCTATTTTTGGAGCATTTATCCAAAAAAGGATAAATGAGAATCGAACCATAATGCAATATAGGCAAAACCAACATTTCTATGAGTTTTTCACGTACTTTGAAATTTAGAATACTTAAATTCCTATACAACGTCTTAAGAGCCATGTAGCATTTTTTTACTATAAGAAGCAAATGATCTTGAAAGCGCAATTTACTATCCATAATAATTCCAAGATTTTTAGCTGTAATCTTTGGAGTTAGGCCACATCATCAATATTAATTGAAATATGCTCATTACCATCGATCATTTAGTATCCGAACTTAATACAAGCCGATTGCGTAATAAATTTTTTTAAAATTTATTTCATTTCATTTTTTGAAAAATGAAATAATTCTCACGATGAACAAACAGATGGTTGAATCAGAAAACGAATTCACTCGACGTTTCGGTTAGTAATGCATCTCCTACCGTTCTCACTGGAAAATTTAAACTCAGACCATATTTTATATTAATTCATTTCATTTTCATTCCCATTTTTCATCACTGTTTCAGCCCTCATTGTATTATTTTTTTTTTAGTTTAAGCCGATTAATTTTACCATGTCCGATAAAATAGTAAGAAAGAATCTGCATTTCCCAATACCTTCAAACAAGCAATGATATTGAGTAGGAAAAAAGATATTTTCGATGGAAGACTGATGTATAAAGAATAATGTATTCATTATTTGGTGTTTAACGAACTGTTGGTAATAGTTAAAATGACTATTTAATAGTGTTGGCGTTTACCTGATGTAAATCCATTATAATTGAATATAAACTTAAATTTAAACACTTGAACTTATGATTTACACTTTATTGACTACATAGCATGACGCGTTTCGTCGTTACAAACGACTTCTTCAGATGCTTACAGAATAATCTATTTTCTGAAATCACAACAAATTAAAAATTAACAGACCTGACTTATATTCAGTGAAACTTACATCTGTTTCACGAAGAGATAAGCGAAACCTCCGTGTCATTTATTTTCAGAAATATTTGCAGATATCGTTACCGTGTTTTTGAAAACAAATTCAGTTCCAAGGATATAGCCATTTTTGTCGTCCTTTATCAATGTGATATTCAAGAGTATACATTTTTTCATACCAGTGGCACACACCTGCGTGCTCATTTAGTTTTTAAATTACATTTCTTGAGCGAAATCAATTGAAATATGATTTCAATTCAATACATAGCATTTCGTGTATTTCTGATTCTATGGGATATTACGGTTCGATTTCGCCTTCAAAAATCCCTGCGTTCATATTAATATTGTAGTTATCTCAATTGTTGAGTACAATCAACATGAACCAAGAATTCGGAGAGAAATTTATATATGGCTTTGAGTTTGGGGGGTTGTTTTGTGGCAAACCTCACCAGAATGAGGGGGCTTAAATTGTTGCTGAAAAAAATCACATTTTTATGGACCCCTGGAATAATTGTTCAAACATGAATGGGAATCGGTGACTACAAGTTGAGATATCTCTAATTAAAATCCAATAAAGTTTTCAAACTAACTACTATCATCAGACTTTTCATCAGATCTAGATGATATATTGCAAGACACCTGAGAATACTCCGTATTTAATCCGACGTTACGCAATTTTCCAATCAACAAAATACAGGCATATCGTTTCTCACGAAGGAAATTAACAGTTTCACTTCTGGTAAATGAGTTTGGATCGCTGTAATTCCAGAATAACGGTCAGGGGATATTCAGTTCGAGAATTGGGCAACCAAGGGGGAGGATCTCTGGGGCATAAGATTAATAAGGTGTTGAGATTGAAGTCACGTTTGGAATGTAGCTCAGATTTCTGGCTACTGTAATTCGATGTTGCAAAATAAGACATTCTGTAAGTAATTCGTTGTTTTCAGCTTTTATCTTTATTGCGTTGAAAATTATTTCTTCCCATTGTTTTTTCTCGTTGATTCATAATTTTCTCGATACTTGTAATAATATGTATCAATCGAATTTTTTGTGCTATCTTGTTCAAAAACATCGGTATATTTTGTTGAATGACAACAAAAAAACATTTATTCCCAACATTAGTCATTGTTTTCAAATTATCGCATAACGATTGCAGATATGAAACCGAATCACATTGCACTTCATTTAATTTACAAGGTAAAAATCTTTTTTTTTGCGTTGAAGATGAGTGCGTTGCCGGCCTCCGTGGCTTAATCGGAAAAACACTCGAATGCTTTGTGGTAGGATTTGGGTTCGAGTCCCGAGGAAGGCATAGGTGTATGTATTTGCCTATAATTTGATTAGTTTAATGATAAGATTTGTTGGGTAATGTACATTGATGACAAGCCCATTGGGCGTTCAGAACCGGCTACAAATTGTACGTCCATCGAATTGAAAAAAAAATTAATTATCTTCAATTTTATTACCTTAAAAAAGAAATTAACATTTATATTCTGGAATTTCGGACAAACAAGAGTCGTTTACAGAGGTTGTTTTGTTCTGGGCAGGTCCCAGGTCAGCCCTAGATTAGTTCTTTCTCTAATGAACGTATTATCTATCAAATGTACTGAAACTCTGGTTGATATATACTATTCAGGTGTTCAATAACAATATTCATTGAATATATTCAATTATCAGTAACAATAGTTGTTACTCCGCATTTTTTCGAAAATTCTCACTATTTCAATAATTCTGATATTATTTAGGCTCAGAGGCCGCACGGTATATTGACCCTATGCGCTCTCGGCTTACTGGTGCTGGTGGGTTCGATTCCCCCGTAATCTTGCGCCGTTGGGAATTGTAGCGTTAAACTGTAACTTCAACGAAGCTACATACGAAGTAAGTTGAAAAGAAAAGGTGAATTCTGAATTTTTTCGAGAGGTATTCATTTATTTATATTTATCAACTCCATTGCCTTCAAAGTAATCCCCCTCAGATATTATAGCACTTATGTCAGCGTTTCTTCCAAACCCCTCGAAGCACTTCTGAAAAGCGCTTTTCGATATGACCATCAGCTCGTTTTTCGATTCCGACTTCATCTCATCAATTGTGGCAAAAAGCTTTCCTTTCATTGATCTTCTGAGTTTTGGAAAGAGAAAACAATTGCAGGAAGCAAAATCTGTTGAAAACTGTCGTTGAGGCCTGATAACGGTGGTGTTTTTGGACGAAAAATCACGAACAAGCATTGATGTGTGAACTGGTGCATTACGTGATGTAAAGTAAATGATTTGTTTTTTCACAGTTTCGATCGTTTGCAAGTAAAACAGATATACAGTGAGCAAAACCTTCATTTGATCGAATTTGGTGTGCTTTTTTCTGCCTTGTCCCTTTTGGCCATTTCCATTGGGATGATTGAGCCTTGGTTTTGACGTTATAAGCATATACCCACGTTTCGTCGCCAGTTATTAGCTTTCTGATCAAATCTGGATCGCCGTTGACGTCATTCAATCACTACTGAGCGATACTAATGCGGCGATACTTCTGCTCAAAATTTAGCAATTTCGGAACATGACTTCCACAAATTTCATGCCTAAAACTTCCGAGTAAATTGCATGGCACGAGCCGATTGATATGCGAACATCCTACAACTCTCCTAACAGTGATTCGACGATTCCCGGCAACCATTTTCTTCACTGTCCGATGTTTTCTTCGCTTGTTGACGTTGTTGCAACTCCAGGAGGTTCATCGTCATCCACATCTTCTCTGTTTTCTGTAAGGCGCATGTACTACTTTTAAACCCTTTTTTGAGAAGAAACTCGCCAAATGCCACAGTAAACATTTGAGTGCGTTGGGGCACTTTATTCTATTTTCGATGCTAAATTTAATACAGATTTTTTATCCATTTTTTTTCCAAGCGAAAATAATCGAAGAACTCACAAAAAGTGAATAACATTTTCAGTTGCCAAAAACAAACTACTTAACAAAAACGGCTGATGATATCATAAAAGAAACTTATATAAATAATATAATAAACCAACATAACGAAACAAAATTTCGATAATCGATTGTGCACAGCCCGCGAAAATTCAAGGTTGACCTTTTCTTTGGAACAGACCTCGTAGACCTTTGCTCTTGAGACAATGATAATAACAATAATAATTTACACTAGACAATAACACATATTTCTCGGGGATCACAACATTCGGTACGTTGACTGGTAATAGTAAGGATCACTTGCGTATAATCAAGTTATTGTCCAATTCACCATTTACTGAAATTGACCACTTCTCAGACGATATACCTACAATAATAACAATAGCTTTGTTCGCGGTAAGGATTCTGAACCGATTTAGAACCATTCGCATGAGCAGTTTGAATTTTGGCGTTCGCGGATCACCCAGTTCTGAACTTTTAGTTACAGTTCTGTGTTCGCGGATAAACTGGGACTGGTTCGGAATCGATTCGGAATTGGTTCTACCGGTTCGAAGGATCAATCTAGAACTGTAAGTTCGGGACTTGCGCATTCACGATAGTTTGGCAATTGGTATCATAGAAAATTATTTCTATGATTTGTTTAAAAATGCCACATGGTAACGAAACGGAAACTGAAAGTTCGTTCACTTGAGTATCCTGTATTTCATTTGGCTGCAATTACCTTGTACTACATATTTCATATTTCAATTTATACCGTCTGTTTTAAAAGGTAAGTTATATGATTGGTCTACTCTTAAGTTTATCTTCAATAAAAATATACATATTTTTAGGTGAATATTCTAATCATGTCTGATCATTTTTCTTTCGAAAATAATTAAATTGGAAAATGGTTGCTTACTTACAAGTAGACTTCCATTGAATATAACGATATTGTATTTTTCTTTGATTAGAATGACAATTGCAAGCGGCATACGGCATATTATTCGATGAGAACAACCGTGATTTGAAAATTCCCTAAACTAGTTCTAAAATCGTTCGCGGGTCGAAATAATTCCGAACCAATTCATAACCGAGCATGCGTATTAAATCATTCCCGAATAGGTTATGAATTAGTTCTGAATCGGTTCAGAATCCTTACCGCGAACGAAGCTAATATGAACTTGATCGATTAATAATTTTTTAAGAAACGTTGATATTTCCGAAACATCAGGTTGAGATCGCGGGTCCACATGAATTTCTGTTGAAAATATATTAATTTCTTTTCTACTCGAAACGATAACGAGGTCGGTGTTCTTGTACATGTTATAAGTAAATCAAACCAACGACGAGGGCATAAATTAAAAGTTTTGGTTCGAAGTTTTTCTTCTATGTATATATATATATGCCCTCCCTGGGGGAATCATCACCTTGTCGTTGGTGAGAGGGCTCAGTAACCTTACATCCAGGGAGCGATGCTGGCGGTAGCGTAGCTACTGGTAGGGCCACCCAAGCCAGTAAGGTCTCGAAGTAATATTTTTATATTTCAGTTATATCAAACACGAATTTGAATTCAATTTTAATGGTAATCGTTAGACGATAGCCTCTTCAAGTTCTGTTTTCTCTCGTATTCAATTATCTATATATTTAGATTACTCATATACTCATATCATTAAAGGCTCAGTAGCCAGACAGTAAAGTAACTCTAAAACGTTTCCGAATAACTGATGCTGGTGGGTCCGATTTCTACTGAGCTTCCACCGAGTTACGCCGACAATCCGCGTGAAACTGTATTTCCTACTTGTCTCAAAAGTTCAGAATGCTTGACAAAGGAAACTAGCATTCATGAAAATGCTTTAGAATGAAATGAAGATTTGCACGTTATCCCGGTGTTAAATTTTTATATTTTGCAATATAATACTTATAATTCCTATAACCAAGCAATTTATGAAACCGTGGCCGTAATTATTCAAATATGAACATCATTACGCCAATCAAGTTATAATATTAGTCTGCTGCGGTTAAGTTTTTTGAATCCGTCTACGAGTGTTTGGATAAACACTTGTTCGTGGCGGGGTTATTTTTTGATTTATCTTCCGCATTTGATTCACTATCCTTTGAATTTTTACTGGATGAATACTACAATTTAGGTTTCAGAGGTGTGTTTCTGAATTGGTTACGTAGTTATTCTGAAGAAAGAACAATGGTAGTAAAAATAGGCGAGAGTTATTCTCAGAGACATGATATTGCTCTTGGGGTGCCTCAAGGCTCTGTACTCGGACCTCTTCTATTCATATTGTTCATAAACGATCTGCCTGCGAAGTTGTCCCGGTTTTTGGTGACACTATTTGCCGATGATTCATCGGTGGTTGTTTCTGGCAGGACTCCTGAAGAACTTCTGGAGGCATGTGAATGCATTGTGAGGGAGTTTGTAAGTTGGTGTCAAATGAACAATCTGATGGTGAACGTTGACAAAACTGTATGTGTTCAGTTTTGTCTGAAGGGCAATGGAATTAGTACCTTGGATGTTAAATATGGGGACAACACTATATCATCATCCCAATCAACGAAGTTTCTTGGAATATATGTAGACAGAAATTTGAGATGGACAACACACATTGAGGTCTTATGTAAAAAATTGAGTAACTCATTTTTTGCAATCTCTAGAATCGAGAACATCGTACCTAGAAACTGTGTTAAGAATGTGTATTACAGTCTTGTATATAGTCATCTAAATTATAATATTCTGCTGTGGGGTTGCTCTACAGAAATAAATAGGGTGTTTATTACACAGAAGCGAATACTTCGATTAATATTCAATATTCATCAGCGAATATCTTGCCAACCTATCTTCATTAATAATTACATACTCACCTTACCGTGATCATATATTTATAGATGTTTGTTATATGTTAAAAAAAATGAAGATAGGTTCATTAAATTGAATAGTTTTCATGAGTATTCAACAAGAAACAGGGATGTGCTACTTATTCCTATGCATAAAACAGCTAAATTTGAGCACTCTCTCTATTGTCAGAGCATTAAAATTTTCAATCATTCACCATCGAATTTGAAAGTACTGAAAGCTCATTTGTTTCAGAGGAGAGTTAAATCACTGCTCTTAACAAAGGCATACTATAGTGTGTCAGAGTACTTCGATGATTCGGATGTAGGCAATAATGTTTGAATCAATTTTTTGTATCATATATTTGTATATTTTTTTAACACTAATGTTCTTCACCATGTGAAATTGTCTCAAATGTTAAATATCTCTGAGGAAATTTTTATTTTCTTTTCTTTTCAATCAAAATTGTATGTTATTGTAAATATAAATTTAACCGAGATTTTTGTTTGAACCAACATTTTTGCTCGAGGTCTGAATGGAAGATCAGACTCCAAACTGAATTCGGTCCTTTTGAGAGC